AAAAAGTCATATACTCATAATAACACAACATTTCATTAATATATCACAAACTATTCAAGTTCCCAACATAGTTAAGTAATATCAAAAAAGTAATGCTATATTGACCAAATTTTGGAACCAAATTTAGAGTTCAAATGACATGACAATATATTATTTGTAGTTTTTATGGGGGCGCAAACGGCATGACACCAAAAAAAGAAACTCAAATCAGTTGCCATGTCATTTGGGCTCCAATTTGGTCCCAGAATTTGGTCACTATAGTATTACTGATATCAAAATGCAAAGACATCTAATTCAAACTTCTAACATCAACTGCTTGAACAATATTAATATGAGTAAGGAATTTTGAATTCAATTGTACAATATTAACAATAGATTTTATTTTATTATTTAAAACCATAACCACTGAAATGACGTTATTTCATTGACTAGTTAAAAATAAGTTCTGGGGGTGAAATAATGTCATTTCAACCCCAAAAAACTAAAAAAAACAAAATTTTACGTACCGCACGTATCACATCGTGTATTGTACGATATGGTGCAAAAATGATATAGAGACACAATACATATCATTTTTCAGGTGTATTGTGACGTATCGTGGATCGTATGATACTAATAACTATGGTAAAGACTGAAACTTAGAGCTTCTTGTGGTAGCTTGCTTTGATGCTGTGCCTTGTTGCTGAGTTTAGCTTTGTTGGTTGGTATGAAGAGGAATAGATGAGAGAGAGCTGAGGGTGTTATATATGTAATTGACCTCATTTTTGTTGATTTCAGTAGCCTTAAGATCACTTTCAATGCTTTCCAATCTCTGTTGAGACAGATTCATTTCATTTCGATGCTTTAATGAACTTCTCAGTTTGAATCTTCCGATGCATCTTCTGTAGTTTTCTTCTCTTTGTTGTTACATTCAAGCATTCAGTCGATTCTTTTTCCTTTACAGTCGTCATGTGCAGTGCATCCTCAAGGCTTGATGCTTTTGATTAGAATGCTTCGAATTGCACTTCAAGTTGAGGTCAGAGATGTTTATGTTCAGAGAGAGAGAGAGAGAGAGAGGTGATAGTGTCATTGGCTTCAGGGTTTTTCGGTAGAGACTGGTGCTAATGGGATGTAGTTTCTGGTTGTGGTGGTGGTTGAGCAGCAGAATGCTGGTGGAAAAGGGAGGAGTAGGGCTTCAATTGAAAGGTTGCGTGGCTAAATCAGTGTAATAAAACAGAATTTATCTAGTTTTTAATAACTTAGTCATTGGTGATAATCAAGTCCTGCAATTCATATTTTTCATTCATGGCTTAAATGATATCCCAAAATTGTCCTTCTGTTGAAACTGGTAAAGCCTTAACTTTGAGTTATGTGTTTGTAGACCATTATTTTCAATTTTACCTAGAGATGAGCCTGCCAACATGCTTCATATAATAGAGGCAGAAGTCTCATCCAACAGCCTTGTACAGTAATTGGATTGTTTTTTCTATTACACAAAAGGGCTATTTTCATCTTTGCTTTCTGGCAATATTTGTATTGATGAAGATATGTAATTTTGCTGTACAATCAAAGTTATATGATGTTTTTATAGGAGCTTGGTCACTTGGTTGCTTTACAACTGTTTAGTTTTTTTTTAATGGTATGGTGAAGGGGTTGGGTTAAATACTTGTCTTGGAATCTACTGATGTGTTCATTGTATTTGATATTGTTTCCTATGCTTGTATAGGAGGAGAGAAGAAGCCCAGAGAATTATGAAGGAGGCACTTGGAACCTTAGATGGACACTAGCCTGTGAATGACATGCCCATATTCGAAACTGCACGAGAAAGCTTGTGGCTGTCTGCATGTGCTAAAGCTTTTGTCACCTAACAACCCAACATACGTAGTGTCGTACAATACGATTTACATTTGAGGTGATTTATTTATACATCTAAATCCTCCTCCCCCCCCCAATTTTGTTTGCAGTATGTTTTCCATAAATTTAAATAAGCAAGATAGATTAGGACCCCTTCTGTATTTTTTTGCTTCCATTATCCAACTTGGTATATTATCCCACCATGTGTTAGTGAAAGAATCACTTATATACACCGGGTCTCACTACCAAGGAGGAAAATGGAGAAAATAAGTATTGGAGGGTATCTCACTCGACGCAAGAGTATGCAAAATGCCTTTGATGCCTAAAATGATTGAGAGTGTATTGAATAATCACGTTTTGAGGGAAAAAAGAACTGTTGAAACCAGTCTCTTGGTAGTTCCACATGCTTTTAAAACAGCAGAACCTGTTTTTAAACGGGGCTAGGGAAGAAATATACTCCAAAACAGCCTCTGTGGATTGCTTGCCACACAAAATACCAATTTCTATCATCAACGTTTCAGAATTGGAAATTTGCAATCTACCATATATCTTTAGATTTTATTATTATTTTTTTGTTTTTTTTTTTTTTTTTGGGGGGGGGGGGGGGTGAGTGTCTTCACCATACACTACCTACCTATTTCAATGTTCTTGCTAGTTATCATCATATTGATTATCATAACAAAATGAATAATAGAGTACAAAACCTACTCTTAACAAGTAGTAGTTGGGCTTTCGGGGCTATGATATTTGTTTGGAGATTTTCTGATAATCTTCTCGTCGTCAAACCTTCTATTTCTTTTGGAACTACCGAGTTAGATGACAAAGTTGAGTTGAAAGGTATTTTTTTTGATCCTATCGAAATACCTCACAATTTTTTCTTTTGTTGCTGGAATGTAACGTCAAAGTTGAAGGAGTTGTCTTCTCCCCAATTTGACTTTGGAGGTGCGGCCCCCTAATTATTACATTGCGGCATTGACAACAGATAGACATTATTTAAAGACAGATAGACATTATTTAAAGAGGGAGTGCTGGTCTTTTCATTTTGAATTACAACTATTTGTCCTCTTTATTGGAAAGAGAGAATAACACCCCGAGAAACAAGCTTCAACACTGATGTAAGTTGTCTATCATTAGATTATTCTTTGGGTTTTCTAAGGACTGGAGCCTTTGATGAGCAAGAAACCAATGTTGTAACTCTTGAGAATTATTCTTTGAAGAAAGAGTTTCATAAGCATTTATTTTAGTAGTACTTATACAATATATAAAGAAGAGACCTCTTATGGCCTCTGTTTATGTGTTGCTTGCCTTTTGAATCGAAAGACGTGACATAACAGAGGTGATTTTGGTAAACTGATACATTAGATGAGACTCCTGAATCCCACCGACCCTCCGAAGGTCGTAAACGACTCATGAGGAGTCATTTACAAGTCAAACTCGCAGAAGCGAGGGGGAGACACTTTCATTCAAAACGAGTAGCCGTGCCACGGGGGACTGACCAGCTATAAATTGGCCGTACTTACCGGTCAAAGTAGGAAAAGTACTCTGATGGTGTTATTAATATGACTGAGCAGAGGGACGGGAGCGAGGTGTACTGAATAGTTTGATTCAATTTAATTTGAGTTATAAGGTTTTATAGAGTAGAATTTAAGAGATAAATGAGTAATTACACAAAATATTTATAGTGATTTATCAGTTCAAGAGCTTGACTAATCCACTTTTAAAGGAGTCTCTTGTTTCTAAATATATTGATAATTGTGTAAAATTTACAAAGAGTGTTTTATAAGACTACAATAACTTCTTTTTACTTTCGAGGGTTTTACCTCCTATTTATAACTATTCTGGATTTTACTTGATCTGAGACGAGATCCTTGTCCCTCTTTTGTAATGGTTGCCCCTTATTGTGTATTGAGACTTGTGCCTGTTGGGTGATTGATGCCAAAAAAGGGAGACTTGGTGGAATCCAGCTGTCCTTTGCACATCCTTCCTCGAGATATAGATACAGGGAGTTGAGGTCTGAAATCGAGGTCCGTAAATAATATTGAAGAGTTGAGCTCCTGCATAGCATGACCTGATTTACGGAGCTCACCCTTAGATATTTTATGGTACCATCATACTCAATAATCTGTAAGAAACCCCAATTAAAAATAAAACACTCTCAAAAATCATACTTTCCCATGAGACTCATCAACCACCTTACCAACTACATTCTTTTGTACGAGTACAACATGAAAGAGCCCTAAAATCATTTAAAGTAGTTGGATTGCCATATTTAAGAACCAAGGGAATAGATACAGAATTGATTTTTCCTCATTAAAAAGAATGCTATACCAACAACAACTCAAGTCTTTTTACTAAATGGGGCTGTAAATTGATCAGGTCCTGAGTCCTTATCGAGTGCCCCACAGAGAATAAACCCATTCCAAAAGCTAGGACTTCATGGTCAAGATCTCTTGTATTCATGGATTTAATAACATTCCGTAACGGATAGTGTAATTCTAATCACACTACTATTTAGATAGCCTTCTTTCTATTCTCCGAATATGAATTAAGATACTCACTCAATGGTAGATCATCCACAGTGTATGAATGAGAGACCCACTCATAATAGTGTGTCCCACTAGAATTAATGGTGGATGCACAACTATTAAGTGAAATTGAGTAAAAGAGTAATTGAAAAGATTTCAATGTTTCGCATATTGAGCTGTATTTTACTTCTAGCCCCTACACATTTAACTAAAGAAAAAATATGAGCCCTATCTATAGCTATCCTGGATGATAAAGAAAATGCAATTCTAAAATTGACATAGCATTAGAAATGAGGCTCATGCATCAGTAATTGTATAGGAGAACCATTGAGTTACAATATAAGGTGTTTAAAAACTAGTTATATGTGAAGTAAGTATCAAACATCCTTGCCAAAACTATTCCAGCAGTACCATGAAAGGGAAGAGCCAGGGTAGTCATCTAGACTTGAAGCACTAACCCATAAGAGCAAAAAAAAAGAAAAGAGATTACACTAGGGATCTATTTGTGTTGTGGGACTGGAATGTTTTTGATTTAACACAAGGTGGAATCACCAGTGACAAAGACGAGCATAAATATATCAAAATTCAGGAACTTGTAATGGCGTACAGTGGACTTCATTACATATATATGTCTCAAACGTTGTCACAAGACCCTTGTAAACAAATTATTGCACACTTACAGTAACACAATCGTAGCAGAGCTGAAAATAACATGATATACAATTGAAAGAGATATCACCATAGGAAGGTTTTCCGCAGATGCTAACGCGTTTGAGAAAGTGTGGGTGATTGTTAACTCTGACGGTATCTCCATCCTTAAGATTCTTAATTCGCTGGACCGGATCAATGCATCTAGAGTGGAAAGATTGATTGCAATCACGATAATGATAAATCCAAAAATTCGGATTTATTTCTCTCTCGTAGAAGTCACAGTAAAACTCTTGGCGATGGTAAGTATAAGGGGGAAAGCTCAAGATGAGGTCATGTTTGTCCCCCCCTGTGCCTAACCTTGCGTGGCAACATGACACAATAACCGTCTAGACGAAAACGGCAAGTGTCACATTTGAATCCCAACCCATTGAAATAATCACCACAAGCAGTACACGGCCCATGGCCTAACATTGATATTGGAAGGAGGGTGTGCCTATGGCCTAACTTTGATATTGGAAAGAGGGGGTGCTGATGAGCGTCATGCTTAACACTATTTAGTAGAAAAGCACACCTGAAATGAAGCGTATGGTTGCATGGCAAACACCTAAGGACGAATCCGTTGGTTCTTGTAGAGCAGCCATCACACCAGATGGGTTTTGAAGCATATTGGATCTTCCACAGGAAGAGCTTGTGATAGGGGTGAAATGGATGTTGCACCTCTGTGGGTAACGCCGCACAACATTTGTGGAGAGAGAAATTACATTCAGTGCAGCTATAAAACGGAGCTGAAACAGGTTGCACACATCCATCGCATAACAATGTCAAATAATTATTGCTTTCGTTTTTCTGCTCCTCAAAAAGTTGCAATGGATGGTCATGACTAAAGTGCTTGAGGCTTGCTGTACTATTTCTACCTCCTAATCCCATTTCCTAGACAAAACGTTATATCAGAGCAACAGATTTCTCCGTTGGAAGGTGCATTAGATTTGAATCAGCTCCAATTTTTTCATTTTGGTATCTACTGCTACATAGCACATGACAATTGTAGCAGAGATGAAAATTACACGGTGCACATTCGAAAAATAGGTCGTCATTGAAAGGTTTCTTACAACAATTGCATGCCGAGTCATCCTTAGCGTCTTCAACACATTTCAGTGCATGTCCGTGACTCTCATCCATAATTGTATCCCCAAACATGATATTTAAATAATCCTTATTATCAATGCATTTAGGATGGAGCCAGAGGTCACAGTCAAGACAATGATAGAGCCAAAACTCAGGATTTATTTCTTTCCTGCACATTTCGCAATAAAACTCATCCGGATGATAAGTAAATGGGGGATAGCTCAAGATGAGAGGGTGATCGCACAATTCTTCCCTAATCATACCTTGCAACAGGACACACCAGCTATCTAGATAGAAACCACAAGTGTCACATCCCAATGTGAACTTGGCCGACATACCACAAGCATTACAACGATTTGACTTACTTGGAACGAGAGGGTACTGAGAATGGGCTTCATGTGCTACAGTACTATTAAGCAGAGAGCCACAACTGAAATGAAGACGAAAGTCGCAGGGATCACAGTTGAGGGTAAATCCACTGCATGGTATATCACAGCCGTCACATTTTAATGGACTGGAAGTATTAGAAGAGTCAGTTCGCAGGAAAAGCTTGTGATCAGGGTGGCATTGGTGTTGCACCTCTCGGAGTGACGCTGCACAATATTTGTGGAGAGAGAAACTACATTTGTCGCAGCTATAATAAAATGCGGCTAAAATAGGTTGCTCACATTCATTACAGAACAATATTTTATCACTCTGGACTTTGGTATTCTGCTCAAAAAGTTGCAGTGGATGCTCATGGCTAGAATGCTTGACGAAGCTGCCTGTTGTCTCCTAAACCCGTTTCCTTGACGAAATGACTTATCATATCAGCAACATTGTATGCTGGAAGAGGCAGTTTCCTTACAGAGTCGTCTTTTTGAATACCCTTCTTTTGTAGATAAGGTTCAATATCTTTTTCGTCGGCTGTAATTCGACATGTCCTGTTACTGAATCGATAAAAAAGAAGAAAAAAAGAGATGATATTCATAAGTCATTGAGAAGCGATGGTGAAAACACAAGTAACACTAGTAATAAATGCATATAACTAGACAAAAAGAGTCTATCTTGTATTTAAGAGCAATGTTACGTACACTTAAAAAGTAAAATTAAAAATTAGATTTGATAATTTTAATTATTGATTTTATTCTAGGTCCCAGCATTTATTAGGACCCACTATCTATTCAATAATTGAGATTATCAAGTCTAATTTTTAAGTTCATCTAACATTACTCTGTATTTAATGTTGCGCACGGTACATGAACAACGCATCTGCTTGGCTACAAGAATATGCCCAGTACAATGGCTTCACTTTCTTAGCGCAGATATTACAGTCGTGGGTGAAATTGGAACTTTCAAGTGGAAGAGAATAGGCAAGGTTGAGAGAGTGAGGGTGATGACCACTATTAATAAGGCTGCTTGGTAACAAAGCACAGCTATTATGAATCCAAAATTGACAGTCTATGCATACATAGGATACACCTTCAACTTTCATGCCACAAGCATCACAATCAAACAAGGCTGGCCTCTGGAAGAGGGTCAAAATGTGTTCATGACTTTCGTGTTTAAGCGTGCGCTCCTGAAATACACATAATGGGTGGATGTAAAACTCACAAAGGGAACAATGATAGGTTAACCTTCTGCAAAAATTACCACAAGCGTGACATTTGCACTCCGAATCTGCAGAAGGTGGCTCTGTGCAGAGAATAAGAGGGTGCGAGGAGTGCATTGGGTGTTTATCAATCTTAAGAGGTAGTTCTGCACAACTTTTATGCAAGAAAAAATTACACAAGCTGCAATCATAAAAAGGGCCAAAGATTGGCACCCAGCACCCCCAGCAATTAATTTTCTGGCCCTCATGAGCTTTATTCAAGATAAATGGGTGTTCATGGCTAGAATATAGAAGCTTCATTCTCCTTTGACTCTCTCTAGCTGCGATCATAAAACTGTTTTGCTCTCTGTCTTTTTGAGAGGAAGAGTTTTACATATTTATGCATCATTGTTAGGGAGAATAAAAATGAAATTTATGTATTTTTAAAATATCATAATTTTTTTTATTAATAAATATTGAACATTTTACTCATAAAAAAAAAGACAAAAAATTTATCACTAAATTATTTTTATGTATTACGGAATGCTTTAATTGAAATAAAACAATTAAAATTTTAAGGATTACATTAAAATCCTAGAGAAAATTTCGGGGGCAGTTATGATAATTATCCAAACAAACATTAAATTATTTATTTATTCAAACATTAGAATTTGAGTTTGGGACTTAATCTTTGTCTATGGAGTGTTGTCCTTACAAAGTTAAAGGGTATGGAATAGTTAAAGAGGAGTTAAAGGGGAAGAGAATTAGGCCATTCAACTTAAACATGTCGAATGGAATGATGTCAGTGTTTCAACTTAAACATGTCAAATGGAGTGATGTGTTTAAATAAAAACGTCAGTGTTTCAACTTAAACATGTCAAATGGAGTGATGTGTTTAAATAAAAACGTCACTGTTTAACTTGAATGCGGGCCAAATGTCGGTCTATTTGACGTTTTTAAAAAAGATGTGAATTTGAAAATTATTTTGAAACCAACCATTATTTAAGACTTTGTTTTTAAATCCCATGGATGACTCAATGTCTCCGTTACTGTGTGTAACAGCCGAAAGCCCGAGTGAAAAATAACCCACATACCCAGTTATTTTCAGCAACAATTTCTTCAGATTTCAGCCGATTTTCTTCACTTTTCACCCCCCAAACCCCATATTGACTTCAAATCTTCTTACTTTTGGCATAGATCTGAAGATTGGATGACAAAACTTCAAGAGAAACAGAGGAAGAAGCCGAGACTTGAATTCTATGCAAAGCAATAAATGAGGGACGGAGGAAGAAGAACTGAGATGCCTTGGGTCTATCGAGCCTTGATCATATCACTTATGCTCTTTTTCTTCTAATTAACTCAATATTAGGCACAATGGATGACTAACCAAAAGTGAAACTGAGAGTAATTACAAGCACTTCTGTCACATTCTTTATGGTTAAAGAACCTGATTGTCAGGTTTTTTTAACAATGTTTGACAACATCTCTACTTTATTCTTTTTTTCACTTCGAACACAGTTTTTTAAATGTAAAAATTAAATTTTTTTTGTCGACATTGAGTTTAAATTAAAGTGAAACATGTTCGTTGTTTCGAGTAAAATTTCGTGGGTTCATATTTTATTCCGTGAGGAGAATAATATAGTATATTCATTTGCTCAAATCGAGTAAGATATGAATGAGAAAATAGACGCTAATATGACTCTCTTAAAATGTGAAAATAAATGTTGTGCAATGTAAAATTTGACATCAATCCCACATTGGTTGAGAAAGAAATTCAACACGAACATATATAGATCAAGTTTGTTATATAAGATTGGGTCCCAAGGGGTACCACAATTTTATGAGTAGAGCGAAAGCCTACATGCCTTTGCCTCGCCATGCCACAACACGCCATGACCCGATCATGTCGGGCCGGGTATGAGTGTAGGTGTGAGTGGACCAAACCTTATCTTTTTGAAGAAAATTTGTTTAATTAATTGGGCGATAATTTTTAAACCGAAATTTAATTTTCGGTACCCGTTAGATCGCACTGGTTTGGATTTGTTGCTTCCCTCCGGTCCGAAATTAAGTTTTGACTGTTCATAAAGAACAATTACAAGTGGTGTCTTCTGAATTATGTCTTTTAGTAATAGTGGTTGTCCAAAAAGTCACCAAAATATCTATAAATATCCAGACTCTTATTACCATTTGATATTCAGTCATTCATTCATCAGTCTATTTTCGGCATTAAGACAATGTGCATTTTAGAGAATACACAACAAAATTTTGGTTCACTAGACGAGTAGATTAAAATACTACTTTTACTTATGTAAAGATCATTGTTGACAGACACTCGATATTCCATAAGCACCGTGTGTGGGGGCGAAATATGTCTTATGGACATAGTGTCAAATACTAGCTTTGACTTACATAAAATTCAATAACAGTTCATGTTATGCAACCAGATTAGTATTTATATTGTTTAAACAAACAGTTACGTGTAACTCTTTTCTGTAACTCTTTCATATAACTATTTCGTGTAAGATTAGTTTTGTATAACTCTTGATTATTACTGTTTTGTTATACATTACGTGGTTCAAATTAGAAATTTTAATAAGTAATTTTACAAAATTTGAAATATCAGAAACAACACCTTATGCTATATGGACCTTAACATCTACTCATCAAAATATAAATCCAAGAATTCAATATAAAATCAACAATTAATCGAGCAATAAATCATAAAATTGTTCAAATCTATACCTCTTTCTGATCATTTATACAGCATTAGGACATTATGACACAAAACATCTCAACTACTTCACAATGGCACTATTACTAGGCTATTGGAAGCTTGACACAACACAATTGGTGGGGGAATTACAAAACAAGGCTTTGTTAGATTTCTAGATGTGTTTTTGGAAGAAGATTAAAGTGACATGGCTACATTTAAGCTTTATCTGTGCCGTTCATCAATTTAAATGAGGTAAGAGACTTAGAACGCAAGTGAGCATAGCATGGTTTTAAACTTAGGTTAAAATTGGATTTTAAAACTAGATGTTTTTTATTTAAAAATTCGTAGCATGATACTAGGTTTTGAACTTGGAAACTTATTTTTGAAACATGTTTAATGTCATGGTATGGAGCCATGTTTTTTTTTTTTGTTAGCAAAACACCCCTAAAACTCAATAGAGACGAGGATAAGTGGTGGTGGACTGGACGGTCCTCACCTAAGATCAGTGGTGGAGCTACTCATTCATTTGTATGTGCTTTGACATAGTTCCAAATTGATATTAGTAAACATTTTTTTGTATGTGTCTTGACATAGTTTTGAATTTTCACCTTACAAATAAACTCTCAAGCACTCTAATCCTCTTAATTATCTCTCATATTTGGGTTAAATTTATTAACTTTCATTTAAGTAAAATTAAATAATATTTATTTAGTTGGATACCCTCTCAATGCTTTTAAGAAATCATTTTGAAGCTTATTATTCTCTCTCTCCCTCCCTAGATCTTGTTCCTTCTCTCCCTCATCATAATGAGATATCTTGTAAAGTTATAAAATATAAGAATAGCTCAAATTAAATTTAAGACTAATGGTATTAGGATTTAAATTATTTATTTAATTTACTGATTTAATTTATTGTAACATTTATATTGATTGTAGGTCCTATCAAGTATTAAAATTTAGTGCCGATCTAATTTTAAATGTGTTTGAGTAGAAGTCGTACCAACCAATTTTAAGTTTTTGCATTGGCTATTAGATCAAATTTTCTTAGAGTAATGTTGTTGGAACTAATTTAGTACCTAAATGAAAACATAAAGGAGTGTGACAATCAAATATGTAGTGGGTCCTAGAATTTAATGAAGTGCACTACCAATTAAATGTTTTCGATGCATTAAATTTTACTTATATTTTGACTCTATTAAACTAGAAATCAGTTGGCCTAAATTTTAGAGTGGAATAAAACTAGCGACGTGAGACTCTGGATACAGAGAAATTTCATGGCTTGTCTTTAGCGAATAGAAACACATTTATATTGCTTAAGTTCGTAATTTCGAATAGAATTAAAGATAAAATTTAGGTGTATAAATCAATCCTTCAATTTATACACCATTTAAATAAGAACATACATTTCGTCATATCCTCAAGATTCATCGCAAAGGCTTAAATACAATTCACCTAAATTACGGATGACTTGTCCTACTAATCATTTACGCTGGTGTGAAAATTAGTTTCAGAGTATGTGGGGATTACTTAAATTAATGTTGCCTTCAACGTGGTAGGTCCCATTTTCCACTCAAAATGTCTCGTCTACTTTAATCCACTATGGCCCACCACTTTTTTTTTTTAAAAACTATGGCCCACCACTTGTACAAACAATTATTTTTTCCACTTTATCCTCCATTACCGCCGACAGATCCCACTCTTTTGTTCAATGTGGTGGGTCGCCCATACAGTACATTGCACCAATCATATCATATCAGCCTTAAAGCTGATCAATAATGCAGTTCAAAGAATAGTAATTAGTAATTACCATAAAGTCTTTGTAGAAAAAATAAAATAATTTAGCCTTACTGCTTAGCTAGTGTTTTGATGTGTTTGTGGGTAGAAAAAGCATATGTTAAAGGTAAATTGAAATGTCTTCACTGTCTTTTAGAGTGTGTTTGAAATGACTTATGAAATCTAAAAAATATTTTTTAAATAAATATTTATTAAAAATATTTATAAGAAAAACACTTTTATTAAATAAGTATTGTTTGAATACTCAAAATTTAAAATGTTTAAATTAATGTATTTTATAAAAAATACGTTTGAATGTAAAAACACTTATTTGTATCTCAGTTGTTAATAGAATTGAATACACATATACAAATGTATACTACACATATAATAATACACAAAAAAAAAAATCATACACAAAAATATCATATTAATAAAGGTATCATACGAAAAAACTACATAATTAGAAGTAATAGGAGAGAGAGAGCGCACAAAAATATCAAATCAGTGATGAATCAAAATTTTAATATTTCAAAATGTTCCATAATATTTCAAAATATTATTATATTTCAATGCATTTACACAATTATTCTCGTTGTCATAAAAATAGCTTGTGGTTGAGGGCATATGTCTCAAGGGCACACCAAAACTCA